ACTTAATATAGGGGCCGGAATAATTAGAATAGGTGTTGGGGGTATATTCTACCTTGATATGATAAGACCCCCCCCCCAAAAAAAAAAAGTATAGGTAATTTTTTAGACCCCTACAGTAGTCTCGTGTTGTTTGGGTTTGTGTATTCAACTCTTGGGTCGAGGGTCGGGGGCTCGAGCTTGGCAGCCGCGCCTAGTCGTAAGCTCAGGGTTTTGTTGTAGCTTTTGGGGGGCTTTCATCCCTGGAGTTATAGCTTTTTGGGCTTTCATCCCTGGAGTTATAGCATTTGGGCTCTCATCCCTGGAGTTATAGCTTTTGGGCTCTCATCCCTGGAGTTATAGCTTTTGGGCTTTCATCCCTGGAGTTATAGCTTTTGGGCTCTCATCCCTGGAGTTATAGCTTTTGGGGCTTTCATCCCTTGAGTCAACTTGCTGTTTCAGGCTCCGAGCGCTGAAGGCTTTATTGAGGAGCCTCCGCAGTGCTACTGCTCATGACACCGTCCGAATGATGCATGCTTGAGGACTGATAATCTTAAGTCGTTATAGTACTTAAAGCAAGGACTTCATTCTGGCCCATCGACGCCATGTCGTCGCAACCCTAGCCCACGGTTGAAATCCCACACAGGCCCTCATTGAGTACCGTAAAATACACAATTCCGCACCGGAAACTCGCTGATCACCAGAAATCACACGCTGTCCTTGGTCCAAAATCCTTAACGCGTCGGCTTATCGGTGCTGACATGTGTCGGTACCAGTGCAGGAATTCTGCTTGAACTCGCTTGACTTGTACTGTCGCCGTAGACCTCAGACCCTAAACCCTACATGTTTAGGCTTGTGGAGGGAGGCCTATCTACATCCTGTCAGTGGTAGGCTTTGTAGGGCTTTGTAAGTAGTTGTGACTGGCCAGTTGTCGTGAAGCCTTACTTGTGTGACCGGCCAGTTGTCGTGAAGCCCTACTTGCCGAGGGCAAATTGCGATTGTCGAAACCCTAAACCCGAAGCCCTAGTGCGTGTATGCTAGACTAGACTTTACGTGCTTGGAGGATCATGGGACTTAGTAAGTAAGGTTATAAGTCCCCTAATTGGGGTTATAAGTATAGTTACCTTATTCATAACCCTACTTACTAAGTCCCATGATCCTTTAAGTACTATGATACTACACCTCCTCCGACTCCAATCAGCCCAGGCAGAGAACACCCTGCTCCGGGGCGGTCGGCTGCTTCCCTTGCACTCCCCCTTTTTCTGGCGGGCTAAGTGGGGTGCGGTAGGGCCCGGCAGGGTTGGGATGTAGGTTCGGTAGAGTTTAGGGGTTAGACCTTTCTTGTTTGGGGTAGGCACAAGTCCACTGCAGAGTCGTCGCCAAGGGGTTCCTTGCATTGGAGCTCTATTATCAAGCGGTTGAGCCCGGGTTTCGGCCTGTTGAGGGTTCTGGGCCGAGACTTTCAGAGTCCTAAGGAGCTGCTGCAGGGGGGGCATGGCAACCCGAAACCCTCAATTCGCATGGCCGGGAGGAAAAAACACTGGAACCTTCAATGCTAGGCCCCAAATCCCCGCAACCCGAACGAGAACCGCCAAGGAATGCCCGAGACTGCCCGGCCGCGGAAGCGGCCCTGAACAGGCAGCTGGGGATTCAATTCAGGGGTGGCTTGGAAGGGATGCAGGGCTTAGTGCATAGCAGTCCGTGCTCAAAAACAACGTATTTTTCATTCTTGGAGCGGGGTTTTGGGGAGTATGGGTGCATGGTGACTACAGGAGGCTTTGTTACCGTACTACTGGAAGAGTCTAAGGCGACCCCTCCGAGTTCCGTAGGGGATGTCGGCCTGGGCTCGAAGGATCCCTAAACCTAGGGTTTGGGGTTTGGGGTTTAGGGTTCAGGGTTTAGGGTTCAGGGTTCAGGGTTTAGGGTTTAGGGTTTTGGGGTTCTGAGCCCTTGGAAAATTGGAGAATTTTGGGGTTCTGAGCCCTGTGGATGGCCAGCACGGGGCTCGGGCAGAACGTGGAAGCAGGATTACTTCGGACTCCCCTCCCCTTCGGCTGTAGGATTCTGTTGAAGAGGAAAGGTGCGGGTGTTAAAGACTAGTGTAGGCGCCTAAATTTTTACCTATACTATTTTGGGGGTTTCTTATTATTATAGTATAATATACCCAAAACCCTATTCAAATTATTAAGGCCCTGCAATAGGTCCCGTCTTAGGGGCCCTGGGACTCGACGTGTGGAACTTTTGCAGAACCCCTTATACCCTAGCTTAAGAACCCAAAACCCATTTTTTGTAGGGTCGCTATAAATCCCATATTAGGGTTCGACAAAAAAGTGGGTTTTGGGTTCTTAAGGTACTCCAAAACTGAAACTCCCAAGCATGAGCGCACTGCAGCCTTAAACCCAAAACCCTAGTCGGGTGGGGAGCACCCCTACATCCGGTATGGAGAATGTCGCTTCTTTCGAGTTGAATGCGACGCACATCCTGAGCCCTGAAAGTCTCACCATGCAACAATCACAATCGGGTTCATTTCCGGATCCTTGAATACTTTTTACTTCTAACCTCACCCCACAAGGTGCTAGCAATCCCTCGTGCTTCTGTTTAATTACCCATGAACCTTAAAGCCGACAGCTTAGTTAGTTTGGGAGAGGCTTCCTGGTTCGCACCGACCAAGACTGAGGGGGTTCATGAAGTGGCAGGAATTCAGACGCACACCCAAGCCAGGAACTTTGAACTCGCTTGCCCAAAAAGCCTGTGAATGTGCAGAGGAATCGCTTGGCCATCAAGCTGCTGTTTGCAGTACTGGGTGTGGCAATTCTGCAGCCGAGCTGCGATCAGTTGGGTTGGTTCGAAAGCTTACCAAAGATTTAGATTGACTTGCTGGAACCTACAGGTGGCGAGCCTCAATACAGAATAGCCCACCCACCAAGACCCTCATCCCTAGTATTCCTGGCCTCGCGGTTTCAGCGGTAGGCTTGTTTTTTTTTTTCATCTCCTTCGCTGCTAGACCGAAGCTGCCGAAACCTCCAGTGCCTACAGAAACTCGGAGGGCCCCCCTGGCAACCCGGCCCAAGACCCCTTAAAGGAGACCCTTCGTAATCCAACTTTCGGCTCCCTATAGAGAGGGTCCACATCCCCAAGGGTCTCCCTAATCCGAACTCCTATATGTTTCCCCTGAGCTTTAGTCTATACTCGCTTCAATCAGAACCCTGAACGAAGACCTCGTACAGGACTGCAGGGAGCCCAATGTGTTTCAAACTCGTCTTCCGCCCACTGAGGATGGTGTGCCTGCTGCGAGCGGACACTTTAGCAGGTGCTTTGAGGGAGGTTGCACAGACTTTGCAAGCGGTCCGTTTTGTGGTCTCGGAAGTGGCCTTGCGAGGGCTTTGTCGAGATTGCAGGGTCCTCTTCAGGGCTGCAGATACAGGATGTAGTGCTTCAGGTTTCCGGGTTCTTGGTACCGAGTCGCTAACCTTTCACCTTTTGGGGCTTATGATAAATGTGTTAAATGTGATAGTCCCACCCCGTAATGAGAAAGGTAAGCTTCTTGGGTCTAGGGTGCTTAGCCAGCCCCAAGGGCATTCGGAGTATTCCAGATCCCTATTACACTTACTGTATCAGTCTGTATAATGTATACCCACCCAGCCCTAATTGCAAAGGCCCTTATGTTTAATTCAGCTGTGAATCGTCGCAGGGCAGCCGGGCCAACGGCCCGCAGAGACAAAAGCGGGTGTCAACGCAGATGCGGTGCCCTTGCTGCACACAGACAGTTTCGGGTTCAGGGTCTGGCTAGACTTGGGTCCAGCAGCAGAAAGAGTGTGTTTTGTCCTGGCTAGTGTGCAAGAGGATGGGATGCCTTCATGCATTTCTTTTTCCACGTGGTCATTAGTGTTGGAGCCGCAGTCGTCGAGACTCGCGGTGGGTGGGGTGGTGTTTCGCACTCAGCAAATGCCTCCATCAACGTCTTTGCATCGCTCTTTTGGAGGGCTTGGACCTAAACTTTCCCGCTCGCAAACACCATGTAGATATCTTTGGCAGCCCCTACAGAACGGATATTCATCTGGGGCACTGCCCCCGTAACCCCAGACCCGAAACGTACCCTAATATAGGGGCCTAAATAATTACCTATACTATTTTGGGGGTCCTTGTTATAGTTATACTAACAATGGGCCCCAAACTAATTATTAAGGTAATTGTTATAGTTATACTATAATGGGCCCCAAGACCTTATTCTAATTTTGAAGGCCCCGATAATAAACCCTAAACCCTAAACCCTAAACCCCAAACTACTATAATGCCCGCAGCGTTTGCGTCAGGAGTCGGCATTCTTCGATAGCAGTGCCAGCTTCCTGAGTCGGGTGCAGAGCATTGAGTCCGAGGTGGGTCTTTCTTTGGCATGTTCCCTGTACATTATGGGTTTAGGGTTTATAGGGTTTAGGGGTATATTCTCTTGTCTTACCTTATGATATGTCATATATTAAATGCTCGAACTGAAAAGCACGAGTTAAGCCCCAAACCCAACGAAGTGAAGCCCGAAAGACTCCTAACCCCCGACACCCTAGCGCCGCGCACCCTTGCAAACGGAACCCTTCAAGGAACCCTTATATAAACGAGTTCTTAGAGGAACCCATTAAGGGAGCCCTTAAATCAAGCCTTCTAGCGCGTCGCAGTGGAGACCCTCGCGCCTGACTGCCGTGCAGGACTTGGCGCGTTCCGCTACCAGGGCCGCAGCCCAGGTCCGGGCTTCCTGGGGCAAGCTTAATATAGGGGCCTGAATAATTTCACTGGGGTTTTGGGGCCCGCTATGCTGTCGTTATAATAAGGAACCCCCAAAATAATATAGGTAATTATTGAGGCCCCTACATTAGGCTTAAGTTTGGGTTGTCACAGGGGCTCATGTAGTTGGGTGTAACTGATCGGGGTTGCAAGGCTGAAGATACTTAGAGAGAGAATTGTGGAAAGAGTCGTTTTCGGCCAGAGCCCTCGGGTCCCTTCTTCTCTTTGGGTTATACAATTGGGCTTAGGAAGAATTTAGGGGAAAGGGGTTCAGGGTTTAGGGTTTAGGGTTTAGGGTTTGCGAGAGGGTGAAAAGGATTCCACGGGGTTTAGGTGAGGTGGGTCCATCGGGTGCAGCGGCAATCGGGTCGACCGGGTGTCTGGTTCAAAGAGTTCAAGACTTATAGGGCCCTAGGGGGCTCTTGAGGTGTTCTGGCGTGACGTTGCAAGACCGTTGCAAAAGGGCTCTCGAGGTTTCTTTGGGCTTAAGGCTTAATTAGGGGCGTGCAGTACTTCCAAAGCTGTTTTTTGTTGGTGTTGTGTTCTTGGACTTCGTTGAAGGTACTTGAATTATTGCGCTGTGTGGTACCCTAAACCCTAAACCCTAAACCGTGGCTGGTAGCATGCCAGTCCCGATCCCTGCCTTCAGCGAGACCCTTCCCCCAGAACTTAGTGAGACGCCAGGTCGTCGACACGAGAGTCAAACACGAAGCTAAGAAGGCGCTTTGTGTTTTGGGCTTCAGGGCTTTGGTTGCTCGGCTTTAGTGGTTGAGGGGTTCGAGCTTCAGAGTTTTAGGTTTTAGTTATGTAGAGTTTCGCATTTACCCCTCTTCCGGATTTACGACCTTAGCGAATTCAGGTAGCTTCTAGTATGCTTTTTGATAGGTGCTCCCGTGAGTTTCGGGTGAGGCTTTGAAGACGAAGCCACCCGAATTTCGGGTTCGGCTTCTCGGCTCGGGTTTGGGGGAGCTTGCAGGGTTTGAGATTTCCGGTCAAGCATGCTTGGGGACTTCCCAAAGATTATCAAAGCCTCGTGCCCAAAACCTTAAACCTGAAACCCTAAACCCTAAACTGGCCCAAAGTTAAGCCCTTGAACTTAAACCCGTCAACTCCTCGACAGGCACAGGGCCAAAAAGCTCGTTCGACGAAGCCGCAGTTTGTTTAGGGTTCTGTCCTTAAGGGTAGTTATGTAGACTTCAGGGATTATGGTTCTCTGTGCAGCAGCTGGGCCACACAAACCTTTGCAAGCCCCCCAACCTGAAGAGATGCCGCAGGAGCGAGTCTCATCCATCTTTGTCGTGGACGATGGGCCCGAGGACGCCAGTAGTTTCTGCATGGGGGAGGGAGAGGAGCGTTCGTCACCTGCCAGCTGGGTCCTAGGCGTTCTTGGTTGTGCGTGAACGTGAGAGTCGAAGGATGTGAAGACGCCGGCGCAAGAACACAGACTGCCTCTGTTGCCAGGATTCGTCGGACGACGCCACCGTCGCGGGCACCAATGTTGCTAAAGCACGCGTGGCTACACGGACGAACGGGTCCAGCAATGCGGACACCAACGCCACCGCCTCGACGACCACGACTACAGCTCCTACGACGACCCAGGCATGCCGTGTCAGGGCTTCAATGACCAAGCAGCCCGAGAGCCTGAATCAAATTGAATGCAAGAGTCTGCAAGAGTCGGTAGAAACAACGTCAACACTTTCAAGTGCCATGGTCTCCGACCGAAAAGGACGCCAAACATACAGATCAGTCTGTTCGAACCTATTTGCACATCGACTGAGGTTACTGCATTGTCATCGGCTTACCACCCACGCAGCCCAAAGATGAGCTTATGAACCAGGATTTTGGGTGAGAGGATATTCGGCTTCTTATATATTATGAAGAGAGACGTAACTACTAGAAGCCTACAGCACGTACTATGTTGCAGAAATGACTGCAGGGCCCGATTAAATGGTTAATCTTCAGTTTGGGCAGCATCCCCACTACCTAGAAGGATTAGTGGGTATACAACTGGGGGGAGTTCTATGCAAACCCAAACCCGGGCCCTAAACCCTAAGCCGTTTCGGCTGATTTGAAAAGCAGGTGGTCGAGCCTACGTTTACATGCACGACGCCTGTGATGCTCGGGAAGCTGGGTGCAGACCTAAATTAGACACATGCAGGGTAGGTGTGTGTGTAATTACGTGTAGTTCTGTGTATACATGTCCCCCTGTGTGTTTGTGTGTGTCTACGTAATTCTGTTGCTGCCAAGTTAAATACATGTGCAGATGCAAAAGCAGGTGCTCATGAGTTTTTGGTCCGATTCCCTTCTCTCACTCTCTCTGTCTCTCCTTCTTGGTATTCCTACATGCAGCAGACTTGCTCAATGCCCTTGCAATTTGACAGCATCTGCCGCTGTCTCTACTTACCCATGTACCCTTGTAGCCAGGTCCAGAACCGTGAGTGTCAGTACAAAGGTAAAGCATCATCATTAATATTGAGTGGCAATCGGAAAGGTTCTTGAGTCTGTCTCCTTTGAGTCAGGACCATGCCTAGGTCTGGGCTGTGTTTTTGCATGCCGCAAGCAGAAGAGGCAGAGAGAAAGAGAGGGAGGGAGGGAGGGAGGGAGGGAGGGAGGGCAGGGAGGGCAGGGAGGGAGTAAATCCGTAGTTTCAGAAGGCACGCGCGCATGGACACCATTACCAGAGTTGCCCCAACCGGTTTCGGGAGCCAAGTCTAGTTATTCCCCACTTTCAGATCCAGGGTGTTTGGTAGAGCCTGTAAGTGCAGGCATCAGGCATACCTTTATGAGTTGCAGAAGAGACGAACTTGAGCTGGCTGTGACCCAACGGGCTCATGGCAGATTAAGGAAGGAGGTTTCGTCGGCTCCATGTGGGATTGAATGGTGCAAAGCTTCCAGAAATCTTTGACGATCCGGTTCTGCTCGGGCCATCCGTCATCAAATGTTTTCGACTGCCTGTTCTGGCTTGACGGTGCCTGCGCCGCCCTGTGTGCTAAGGAACGTGACAGCTGTGGATGCCAAGGGGCTGGCAATCGATGACACGACTTTCTCGCAGTGCCCTTCCTTAGCTTTGACGATGCCTGGCTCAGAGAATCGAATCGAAGCTGATGCGATGCCCCAGAACGGTTGTATTGTAGTCTGGGGCCCATCGTAAAACCTACGCACTCCGGCCAACGTCCTGATTGGCACACGCATGGCTTCGATCGACTTCCGGCGTTCGGGCTACAAGCAATCAAGCCTGTGCAAAAAAGAGCTACAGGCTATAGACGTTGTGCTCAAGCCTCGGTGTAAGATCAGAATAAGCAGGCGGACAAGAGTGGAGGGCGCAGGAGTTCAACAGCGGGTACGAAAGCAATTCCGAACTGCTGCCAGTTGATGCTACTTCCATAGCAAAGCAAAGCAAGATGTGGGACCTCGACACCCGATCCGGAACCCTGTGAAAGAAGAGTGGCTAGACTGGCATGAGGAAGTGGCCCAACACCGACAACCGCATCTCATCAGTGCGCCTGTTAAAAGCTTGGGAGTCTTGGCGTGACCAGTAGTACATGTAATCAAAGCCCAGCACTTGCTGTGAAGAGCATGGGCGATGTAGGCGCCATGTTGTAGTAGTTGGTGCATTGTTCGGCTGCCAGATCCACTTTTTCTGCTTGTCCAGGCCCCGTGTTTTTGGTTTAGGGCTTAGGGCCTTTAGGGGTGGTTAGGTGGGGTCTAGGGTTAAAGGATGTTTCAGGTCAATGTATCTACTGTCAATCTCTCTGACCTGTCGTATCAACGCTTGGGCGAGTCAGTCTCGAAATCCTCTCAATCCGTCGATCCGTTCACGTAGTGCAGACCCTGTGGGTTTTCGGGCTGAGGTTTGAAGGCCCTGTCTGAATCGTAGTGGCTGATATGCCGAAGCGGGCTGGGCCTTAGGCCCCGAACCAAGTCATTGTGCCCGACCACCAGTTTTTCGACCTTTATGAGGGTTTTGGTTTAGTTTAGACCTTGGGATCAAATTCTTGGGACCTCCACTTCACGATCCGGGATATCGGACAGGCTATCTACCGACATCAATCACATGGTACATGGTACACATAGAGCAGCCGTGCATAAACACAAATACTTTCTCAAGTTGTGCTACCATCGGAGCACCTGGATTATTAGTATTAT